GTATGTAGGTGAATCATAACTGATTCCCGAGGATCTTGCCCCATATGAGATCCGTTATCTGATCATATTACGCCTCACCTCAGGCCCAAGGCCCAAAAGCAACCCTAAATCACACCAAGGTACGTGCATTACATATACGAGACTATTACTCATACAGACCCTAACTTTAGCATCAGAGTCTCTTTTACAAGTACCACCCCCATCTTGGAGCACCAGCGTACCAGTGAAGGAGGCTCACCGATCTTACTTGGAAGATCGTCCACACGACAAATTCCGGTAAGAACATTAACATTCAATAATATTATTTTTTTTCATTATTAAGAAATTATTTATCAAATAGAAAAATAATTTCTCTCAATTGACAGATATCAATTAAATGATTATTTTGTCCAAATTTTCTCACAATAATTAACATTCAACAATATTGTTCAATTATTAAAAATCAGTTTTTGTTCCTATATTAAAAAATAATCCATTTCTTTTATAGAAAAAAAAAACCTTTGTTCCATTATAAAAAAGAGTTCATGTCGCTTTTAAAAAAAATCACGTGACTTAAAAAAAAGTTTATATTCTTATAAAAAAAGATTCCTATTTCGTAAACATATTATGTTGCTGATATATTTTGTTAAAAAAATCCTTTATTATTATTATTTTTTTTATAAAGAAACGTGTTCTACTGTTATGTAAATATAACCCATGACGTTTTAATAATCACTGTATCGTAAGTATGTTCATATATTTTCACAACATACATGTTATGCCCGGCCTTAAAAAATCATTATGTGCTTTTTTTTATAAAAAAAATTACATGTTACTTTTTACTTTTTAATTTTTAAATTTATAAATATATAAAATTATAATTATTATGTATTGCTTATTCGAGTTACGATCCCTTGATATCATGCATAAGTTTAAAAATTTATATAAAATTTTATATCTTCAATAATTTTTATATAAAGGAAATTTAATTGATTTAACCATTAAATTATGTGATATTATATTCATGATCATATATATTAAATTTTATATAACTTAAATTTTTTTTAGATATGTAATTTAATAATGAATATTTACATATATTTTAAATACCACATTACATTATAAAATAAAGTAATTTGATGAACTATCAAATAATCTAAAGACTATTATTTAGATCTCTCATCTTTCGTAATAAAACATTTTTATTGAATATGCTCCTTATACACACATGCACACATAATGAGTGCATCAAGTGAGAGGAGTGTCTTATTATTAAAGATGAAAAGATTAAGTACCAACCTTTGGATAAAAAATTAATAATTGAGATTAAAATTCAATTATAAACATAGTTCTTATAAGACCATTACGAATGTCACCTTCACAATTATCACTATTAGCACTATTCATTATTGTTGTCACCATCATTACCATCGTCACTATCATTACTGTGAGACCCTAGTTCATATTTTTCCTTTCCCGACACTCTCATCTCTCTTCACTCATCTCACTCTCAATCTTCACTCTTTTACCTTGGTTCTTTCTTTTGGCTACTACAAGGTGGTGGAGCGGAGTCACTCGGATTGCTAGCTGGTGTTGGATTCCTCTTCTCCTTTCTCCTTCATTCAAGCCCACTTCGTACTCTCTTCTTCTCCGTTTCTCTATCTCGAAGCTCGGATCTTTGGCCCGAGGTAAGGGAAGTTAGGTTTGTTGTTAATTTTGGTTGAAAATAGGTTGTTGCAAACTCGGTAGCTGTTGAAGTTGGTCAATGTTTGATGAATTTGTTAAAATGCTGAAATTGGAAGTTTTAGGGTTCTTTGAAGGTTTGACCAAATTTTGGGCCTTTTTGATGGTTTTGTTGTTGCAAGTTGAAAAAGGTAGTGTTTTTGGACTCTGGATGAAAATGTAGCAATTTGAACCGATTGCATGTGGAATTTTTCTGATTATTTTGCAGATTGTTGGAGAGTTTTCGAAAATATGAGGTTTACTGCTGAACTCTTGGCCATCCGGGCGGCATTTAGGCAATCCGCCGGGCGCAAAGATGTGTGCGCCGGGCGGGCTTGGAGATGTTAGCCTCTGGATGGCCCACGCCGGGCGTAGGTTGAACCGTGCTGGGCGCGATGTCAGTTGTAACTTGGTTTTGAACTTCTGACTTGACGCTGGGCGTAATTTTGGCCGCGCTGGGCGCGGGGACTCCTTGGAGTCTCTGCCATGGGAGGCGCCAGGCGCAATTCAGATTTGCACTGGGCATGAGACCAAGGGAGGTCTCTACCTTTCCCACGCTGGGCGTGAGTTTGGGCACGCCAGGCGCGAGAGACTCCTTGGAGTCTTTGTCTAGCATGCGCTGGGCGCAATTAGTTATTGCGCCAAGCGTGTGAGAGCTTTGGGCTCTCTGGTTGAGTCCCACCGGGCGCGGGAATGCTTGCGCCAGGCGCTCTGGCCCCTGGTGCCCTTTTGGTTGAACTGTGCTGGGCGCAGCCATGAGTGTGCTGGGCGCATAGATGATAATTCATTATATGCTGAGTGTAACAGCCCAAGCAACCCGCATGAGGATATTGTCCGCTTTGGCCCACGGCCGCACGGTTTTGCTCTTGGCGATGACACGCATGCCACCCCAAAAGGCCTCCTCACAAGGAAGGTATCCACACCCATATATATGGCATGCTTCGTTCGCCTTCCTAACCGATGTGGGACTATATCCACCCCCCCTCAAGGGAGTCCAGCGCCCTCGCTGGCACACCGATCCGGGCCCCGGCTCTGATACCAA